AGCCGATTTACACAATAAGTATAAACACATTTTATATAAATAAACTTGTCGTATCCTTGTGTTCCCGAAATGTGCTTGGGAAAAGTGATAGCATTACATGAATATTGACCGTCACGGTAGCTTAGTCGGTAGAGCGTTCGCTCCGTGATCGGAAGGTGTGTGTTTGATTCACGGCTTCGACTGACCTAAGTCGATAAAAAAAAACGGGTAGCAACTGTTCCTTCGCCAAGTGCTCGGCACTTTGGAGTGAACGTTGCGGGTCCTTCGGATAAGACCTTAAAAACCGAAGCCCTGTGTCACGATAGGCGTTTGCACGATAAAGAACACTCACTGCTCAATGACCCTGAGTGCCGACTAAAGGTCTAAATTTGAAGCCCTTCACAGGTATAAGGTGACGTCTCTATATGAGTAAAAAAAATTCTCGAATGGGACCTAAAACAACACACAATCAATCAATCTTTACATGAATACAAAATATTTCATGAGAAGTTCATCTTACCTACACATTTGAGAGTATTTTCCACTTCGCATCGTAATCTCTATTAAAACAAAGCCGTTGCACATTTTAACCAAGCAAGATTCAGTTAGAGAACAAACTCCTCTTACAGATTTCTACAAAATATTTCAATTAAATCCTCATCAATCGCCTGTGCCAGTCTACTTTATACACACATAATGAATTTGACCTATAACCACGGGTATTAAACAGAGTACATTTCAAAAGTGTATTATTTCTTAAGCATTTTCAACTAGCTGGATTCCAATCAAGGTTATCTGAACGAAGATTTTTAAATATTCACACATACAATATTGAAAAATGCAATACCGTTCTAATATTTTACATGCAGTTAAAAACAAGGTGTAAAGTTTACGGCACATCGAGTTTGCAGTGAGTTGACGTCATTTTCCATTATGACATCATGTATTGGAAGTTCAGAGAAGTGAAAGCATAGAGTGCACTATGGGAAGCCTTAAACTACCTGCGTATTGTTAGAGATAGCAACATTTGCAGTAGGGATTTCAATCAAAATTTAATTAAAGATTGCAAGTACTCTCTATCTGTGAGATGAATGTGCATAACATATAACTGTTTATAGATGTTTATGAATCTGTTTGAATTACTAAGGTTACTAAGAATTACAGACTACAAGGAGTTAAAAAACACGTTGCGAATATTTGCGGCAAATTATCACCTATACAATAAGATGAGTCGTTAAACTTGCTATCTCGAAATACCCTATGACTTGTATCTTTTTTTATTAAATGCAAGATTATTGTAAAACAAAACACCACTGAGTCTACCACATCTGCTTCATATTTGAAAGTTTTACTGACTATAAACAAAAGGGGCAAACTAACAACTAAATTGTATGACAAACGAGACTTCAGCTTTTCCATCGTCAACTTCCCTGATTAATGTAGCAATATCCCACTATCACCTGCATATGGTGTTTACATCTCCCAACTTATTCAATACTTTCGAGCATGCTCCTAGTACGATCAATTTTTAAACCAAGGCATGTTTCATGCCAATTGTTAGGCCTTTGTTTTTATTCCTGAATTTGACTACGGAATGTTCCGTCCACCTGATCTAAACATAGGGCTCACGGGGTGTGACTGTTAAACAGGGGATGCTTACTCCTCCTAGGCACCAGATCTCACCTCTGTAATTTCAAAGTTCCGTGTTTTATCCCTTGCTCACAAATTTGTATTGTTAGTAGATTTTTATTAGATAGACGACTGTTCGTTATCTTCGCCTAGTCACATTCTATTCGAAGTTCATTGATTGCTATAGGCAAATGCTTTTAAACATTGAATTTTGGCAGTATATGAATGATTTCAAGTATGATGATACAGTACGTAACGTTTACTTGTCACTTAGATGCATTTCATCGTCAATAACTAAATCATATATACTTATGTATACATACATAATCACTTTCGAAACGACTCATTGAGAACACTGATCTAGTATTTATTAGAGTGATGACAAATTGGCGTTTCTGATTGGTTAAAAAAATGTTTTATATACGTACAACAATGCACTTTTCTCAAATAAGTCAGAACTACGTTTTCCTTTGCGTTGTGCATAATGACTGAAATCACTTATTTCCCATTATGAAGTATTTTCTAAAAAAGGAATAGAATATTAAATACGCTGTTTTCCTGAATTTTTAAAACCTGTATGATACCTCTCTGAGTAATTTTCTACCCCCCCCCCCCAATTATTCTCTTCATTATATTGCATGCATGACAAAAATGCATCATACGGGAATGGCGGTGTAAAAACGAAAACTAAAATTTTCATACAGATGTAACAAAAGGGTTTTTGAAATATCCAAGATGACCAGTAGAAAGGTGAAAAAGGTTATTAAATCGTACGAAAAGGTATATATTCCATAAGAAGTGTCTCTTGAGGTGCAGCCATGAGAAAAACGAAAATGTGGGGATACAAGATGCCTTTTGAGATTGTTAAAAGCACGACTCACATCAACATCAAATTCATTTTAAAATTTTATGAATTAACTTAAATGAATAATTTTTAGCGTTTTTTTTTTTTCTTTTCTTTTCTTTTTCTTTTTCTTTTTTTTTTTTTTTTTTTTTTTTTTTGCCAAATTTTAACATGATATTTTCAATGGATAATTCATTTATCGATTGACCCATGGACACTGACTTCAAACAACTTATTTGGTTATCCTCTCAGCATGACAATTTCGCTTTCTTATCTTAAAAAAAAATCATAAATATACAAAGAAAATATTGTTACCCTTGTCGAGCCTCCACTTTGACAAACAGATCAGGTCCGTAGGAAGGAATTTTAATTGGAGGGGGATAGCCTAATAATTAAAGTTTGGATGGACACGAAAGATGTATTAATTGAGGGGGCACATCCATGAAATAGCTTTTTTATCTATAGTATACGATACATATCGGAAAAATTATTGGGGCAAGCCCCCCTTTCTTTGTGCCCCCCCTTTCCCATTTATGCGGACATCGTCTTCATCGTGAGTGAGTGAACATCTATTTACTTCTATTCTTATAAGCTTCGTGTTAGAGTTTTTATAATATCTATTATTTTTTCCCTACTATAGGGTAGGTAAACTGAAATCTGTTTTTAGATGTTAAACCCCGCAACGGAAATAGAGTCTTTGAAGAATAACACTTGAAATGAAAAGATCAAAAGCACCTAAAGCTATGATAAAGCTTTGAGTACAAATTATCAAATTCTTATTTATTATTAATTACTCATTAAGTAATTATTGTTTTGCTTTAAGCATACATTAAGAAGGAATCTATTTGTTTGTTGCTTAAAAAAAGCACAGAAAATAGTTCTGTAAGCAACTCAATGACTGCATAATATCACAGGAGATATTCACTACATTCAAAAGTTTCAAGACAGGTTCTTAAAACCAGAACTGGGACTAATCTCTTTCATACTTAGCTCTCTTTAACTTCCAGGCTATCTTAGAACAACCAAGAAATTGTTATCAAAACATGGACAAGTCATAGGGTATTTCGAGATAGCAAGTTTTCTTTTAGGGAATGTTTCTTTGAAAAAAAAATCAAAATGTTATGTTAAAGTCTGAGAAACTTTATATCCAGGGAAGCTCTGACTTGATACTATCTTTACTTTATACTCACATTATTCTTAAAATGACAGTGTGTTCTTGAAGTATTTGACAAATGTTTCTATTCAACACAGTATTATCTTCGCTACTCAGATTTCAACATGGAATAGACATTTCATGAGAATTGAAATAAAACATATTTTATCAATATTGAGAAAAAGGAAACTTTTCACTTTTTTAACCTCAGATTTACAAAGAAATGCATTGATAGGATCAGACTTATTAACGGATATCTAAAAGAAGCATTGCATTCATTTCTTGGGAAAAATAGACTTTAAACATAAACTATCATCAACCATTGCATAAACGTATGAGATTAATAGAACAAAAAGAAGATACTCTTACAAAAAATATAGTAAACAATAAATAACTATTGTTATAACTTTGACACTATGAAAACTATACGAGTTAACAATAGTGATAACTTTGACACTTTCATTTACTATAGTGATAACTTTGAAAACTTTGATTTGCTATTGTGAGAACTTTGAAAACTTTGATTTACTATATTAATGATATAGCATAATAGTTTGTTAGTGAATCACAACCACGTCATTATGTGATTTTTTTTATTGCAAAATATTTCTTATTCAACAATAAATCAAATAAACAAAAGTATTTTCAGTTTCTTAACAATTAAAATTTATTAATGTATTACATTAAATACCTATAATGTACTACTAGAATTCTACTACTTCACAAATTCGCACAAAATCTTAATAGACTTTTTTTATTTTATATTTTAAACACCAAAACGATTTTTTTTATTATAGTAAAAAAAAGGTTTCCTTCTCATTCGTCCTTTTTTATCAACAGTTATGACGTCATGGGTTATACATTTAAAACCCGTGACTAATATTTTGCCATAAATACCATCCAAAAATGACAAGATTTAGTTCATGTTATGCTTTTGCATGTTTTCATTCATTTCTAGCATCTGAAATAAATCTTTAAATATAGATATTAAGGAGTCGTTATATGTAGAATTCACGTCATTTAGGTTACAACCCTGAAAAAAAACTTCCAAATCACCTCTTCGGAAATTTTTCGATTTTAAGGAAAAAAGCTTTTGACAATTTTTTTGTAACGAGAATCCATTGTTGAAATCCAAACTTCAGATATGAATCTTTAATACAAACTTTTTAACTTAAGTTTATACAATTGATTGCACTTTTGAATCATTTTGAATCATTTCCGTTCCAGTATGATTTGACGTTATATGTTTACTACATTACAAACATAACATTTTGATATCAAACATAAGAGTATGATTATCCTTTAACAAGTGCTGATGTTAGAAAAGCGATGAACAGTCAAAGTATGTACAATTCACGTGGCTTTAGCAGGATATAATGTTCTCTTTAAAGAGGTCTACGGAAACACGAAGTTTCCAGAGAATGCATATCCATCAATACGATCATGGCCATATACAATCATTCCAAAATTTGACTCATTTGTTGTTGTTAGAACATATGTTCCATTCGAGACGTCAAAAGTACGGATAACGTATAATTTTTTTGAATATACTAGGCTCTCGTAAACAGATTGGTAATGGTCAACGGTTTGTCCATTTATTTGAAGATTATTTATTGCGTCTCGTTCAAATACCACGCATATAAAGTTTGCTGTGAATCCGTCTGGGATCATTATCTTGTAGTAATTGACATATTGATGAACACCAGGAATGACTGTCATATAAGGGTCGTTACTTTTAGAACCCATTCCGAAACCAGTAACCAGTACCGGGGTCATGGACTCAACAACTGTTGTTTCATTTGATGCAATTTCAATGTTCCTGCCTTCTTTTCCATTCAAAGGAAGGTTTGTTGTTTTGGTTCCAACACTAATGTTGACATAACCCTGACTTTCACTTATTATCTGAATTAAAGTTTCTAGATTACCAAAGAATGGGGGAACAATGTACTCATTGTCTAATTCGTTAGTGGGAGGTAACTGAGTGAAGAGATGACTGCAATAATTAATTTTGAACTGCTTACACCGATTTCCAGAGAACACTGCTATAGACTTTGTTGATGTTATGAATGTTCCAGTAAGGTCTGTGTTATGGTTTACTTGGAGGGTTTCAAATCTACCCAATGTTATTTGGAAAGTATCCCCATCGTCATATGTTTTCCCCAAAATTTCAAGAGGATTTTTGTTTTTCATTTTCAATGTAATATTGATTTTCGTTAGCTCATTGAGGGCCCCAATAGCAAATTGACTAACATAATAATAATCAAGCGATGAAGTATACGGTTCTGTGGAAGAAATTAAATATTTAGTTGAGAGTTTCTTTGTTGGAATAATCAGTGTCCCGTCACCAGACTGCTTCATGGAATTTCTTTGAAATAAAGTAACTGACGATGGTTCTGAGCTTTGTAATATTACAGCTTTGGGTTCTACTGTCAAATATTTGCACATCATCTCATGAGGAAGACTTATCCTAGTATGGGATGCAAAGTGTATTGTATTGTCAATTGCTGTTTTAATATTTGCATTCAAAGAAGGTGAAGTTAACACGTTGACATTTGCATCTTTGTCCGTTGTAACGTGAATAGATAAGGATCCTTCATAATGCAGATTATGCATAAAAAGGATAAGGAATTCTCTGCCTTTACTACCTGTAAATAAATGGACGGGAAATATAAAGAAAATAAGAATATGTATTTAAATACGCAGTAATTATTTGGGTATTTTATTTCAGTCAATATGTTACTATAATAATGAAATAAAAAGTTTAGAGTTACCTGTGGATTTTACTGTCTGTGTACTTGGTAAAAGAGCTTGGATAGTTTGCCTTTCGTCTTTTGTAGTTATATCTGATTCATCAAAAGCTGATGTTGACTGTATAGTTGGTTTTGTTTCGAGGATTTTTGGTTTTCGGTCTTGTGTGATTGGAGGTGAAGTGGTACCCGGTATCTTTGAATGAAGCAGTGAGGACGTTGATTCCCCCTCTAAATAGGATTAATCGGATAATGATCATAGTTTCCCTGTTCACTAATAGGAAAAAGTTCCTCAATGACAATACCCCCCCCCCCCCCACACACACACACACACAACCCCCTTCCCCCAGAAAAAAAGGTATATAGATTATCTGTTACCCTATGACTTTGTGTTAAAATACTTCACACAAAATAGCATTTTAGTGTGACAGCGTCAATCAACCTCTGGCGCATACAGTGTAATTTTGTAATGGAACCTGAATATTTTTTTAGATTTCTCTTGATGAAATTTACGTATTTCATAGAGCACAAAAATGTAATTCTGGATTTGTATTATGCACAAGAATTTTTGCTAAATATCTTTGAGAATGAAATTCTAATTTTTAATAAAATTTCTAATAAAAAAACTTAAGAAATTAAAGAATATTTGTATATTTTTTTTTTCAATTTTAAAGAAATTAATTAAGTTTAAAACCTTGCTGAAAGAATGAACGATTGTGAGAAGATATCTACACATATCTACACATATTTTTATTTTATTTACAAAAACATTTCTTTTTAAAAAGTGTTCGAAGAAAGTTGAGTATTTGCTGTTCCATTGAACAAAAAGTTGCGAATGTGATGAAATAAGGCCTAACAAAAATTATGTTTTCAAAATGTGTGAGTAAAGTTAATCTTTTTACCATCAGTTCCAGAAGGAAATGTTCCTATTGGACAAGGACCTGGAAAAAAAATATAAACCTGATCATGAATGTAGACCTTTTAAAAACATGCAATTTAAAAATGCTTTTTAATTTATTTTTATCTCTCACAATAATGTACTTATAAAGAAGAATTAGAGAGTCAGTTACCAGTAAATTAACAAGAGGCCCATGGGCCACATCATTGGCTAGGAAAAAAAAGCAAAAATTAGTACAGTATTGAAAAGTTTACAGGGAGGGGGGTGTTGAATTTTAAACTATCTGAAAATGCTTTCATATCAATATAACAAATAGCTTAGTTGTTCTTGAGCAGCAGATTTTTTTTCCCATATATTCATTTGTAAAAATTTGATCCCCCATTGTGGCCCCACCCTACCCCCGGGGGCCCTCATTTGAACAAATTTCATTGTACACTACCCAAAGATGTCTCCATATCAATTTGACTAATCATGGCTTTTCTGTTCTTGAGAAAAAGACTTTTTCCTATATATTCCTCTGTAAACTTTGATCACCCATTGTGGCCCCAACCTATCCCCGGGGTAATGATTTGAACAAACTTGAATCTTCACTATCTGAGGATGCTTCCATATAAATATGACCAATCATGGCTTTACTGTTCTTAAGAAGAAAATTTTTAACGATATTTTCCTATATATTTCTATGTAAAACTTGGATCCCCCATTGTGGCCCCACCCTACCCCCGGGGGTTATTATTTTAACAAATTTGAATCTTCACTACCTGAGGATGTTTCCATATAAATATGACCAATCATGGCTTTACTGTTTTTAAGAAGAAGATTTTTAGAGATATTTTCCTAATATATATATCTATGTAAAACTTGGATCCCCCATTGTGGCCCCACCCTAACCCCGGGGGTCATGATTTGAACAAACTTGAATCTACACTACCTGAGGATGCTTCCATATAAATATGACCAATCATGGCTTTGCTGTTCTTAAGAAGAATATTTTTAAAGATATTTTCCTATATATATCTATGTAAAACTTGGATCCCCCATTGTGGCCCCACCCTACCCCCGGGGGTCATGATTTGAACAAACTTGAATCTACACTACCTGAGGATGCTTCCATATAAATATGACCAATCTTGGCTTTACTGTTCTTAAGAAGAAGATTTTAAAAGATATTTTCCTATATATTTCTATGTAAAACTTGGATCTCCAATTGTGGCCCCACCCTACCCCCGGGGGTCATAATTTGAACAAACTCGAATCTACACTACCTGAGGATGTTTCCACATAAGTTTCATCTTTCCTGGCCCAGTGGTTCTTGAGAAGAAGATTTTTAAATGATGCCATAATTTTTTCACTAATTCCTAGTTATCTCCAGTTGAAAGAGGGCGTGGCCCTTCATTTGAACAAACTTGAATCCCCTTTACCCTTTGTGGCAAGTTTGGTTGAATTTGGCCCAGTGGTTCTTGAGAAGAAGATGAAAATGTGAAAAGTTTACAACAACAACGACAACAGCGACGACAGACAACGGACAAATTTTGATCAGAAAAGCTCACTTGAGCCTTTGGCTCAGGTGAGCTAAAAAGGTTTTAATAGTGCAGTCGTAATCTGCACTTTACGTTTTCAAGTTTCAAATACTTGGAGTAAACATATACAAGGACGCCAATGTGTCCTTGCCTTGAGTGGTAGAACTTTGAATTAATTTGCAAATTTTATCGTTTACCAACAAGTATGACACAGTGCTTAACGTTATTTTTTAAAGTATTTCATCTTACCTACATGTACAAATATGCCTAATTTCTAAACAATGGTTTGGTTTTAGATTCACATTCAAATTATAAATAGAGTTACAATTTCATTTCAAAAGAAATTCAAATTATTTAAACGCTTACACTTGGAGATTTTATCATTAATGGATGCAAGATCTCTTTCTAACGTCATCATTTTAATTCCTTGGTTTTTGACAAGTTGAAGAATTTCTTGAAGTAGTGCGGTTTCCTTTCGACTTGAATAAGTGTCAGTCACCGAGCGACTTTGACCATAACAAATAGTTGTCATATATACTGCCATAAGGTAAATCAAACTCCAGATCCCAAACATTTTACTCGTCACCAGTATTTAAATCATAGAAGTACATTAAACAGGTCTATCTACAATAAAAAAAAATATATCAGATACATGCCTAAATTCCCCACATCAATAGTGATCTTGGATAAATTGCACTGCAGTGAAACTTCTCTAATCCAACACTTTTCGTTTCATCAAAAATGGTCGGGTAAGACAAAAATTACTGATTAAACAATTTTAATCATTTGAATAAATTGAAACACAGTTAAAGTTTACATCCTAATAGACAGGATTTCGGAATAAATATTTCCAGATTCGACAATTTTTGTTATAATTAGGTCTTCCGTTTTCAACGGAAGACCTATAGTGATTCTACTGTTTCTTATTATTATTATTCTTATTTTTTTGACTTTCTAATTTTGTGCACGCGATTTCTCGAAGACTATAGGATGGATTTACATGGAATTTTCAGGAAAAGTGTGCTGTAACATGAACTTGATCTATCTGAGAGATTTTTTTGAAATTCTCTTCCGGTGCCAAGTTACAGTGGCTGCAACGTTATTGTTGACAAACCAATCGTGTAGAATCGTTCGTGTAACGTGCGTGATCGTTCGTGTAATGTGCGAGATCGTGCGTGTATCAGACTCAATCGTTTGCAGTTTTAAACGTGTGTGATCGTGCGTTAAGAAACGTGTAAATTTCGTTTTGTAAGTTTTTATCGGAATGTTATTTATAATACAAGCATTTCGCTTGTCTAAATTTTTTTCAATCCAAATAAAATGAATGAAACCCGATTTACATAATTGCAAGCAGAACGAACTAATTTTCGCTCGGAAATAAGCAATATAGTAAGTCGTACAATATTGTGATTTTTTGTGATAAACCGTACTTAGATGTTTAAGGATTTTTTCTCTGATGTTAATTATGTTTACTGCTAATTATGGTCAAGATATTTTTAAAATCAATAGATCAAAAATAGATATTTTTACAAATAAATAAATAAACAATTCTCTACGTTTAACTAAATATTTAGTCCGCGAATGTACATGTACACGACATGATTGTCGGGGTTTCGTTTATCAGTGTTTATCTCTGGAGCTTACTTTAACTATTTTTATAATTTCTGCAAATAAATGATTTGTAAAATAATTGTTGATTTTAGAGAGATTCACAAATGGAAACATGGATTAAACTTATAATTTAATTCATATTTATGCCAATTTTTTTTTTCAGACTTATCCCTTTCTGCATATTATGAAATCTAATTCAATCAAAGCTAACGGTCCACCTGCATGTACATCTTCTGATAGAAGAAAAAAAAACAGTTTTCTTAAGTGGGAGAATTATGTAAATAATTATTTTTTATCTAATGTATTAAGTTTCAGAAATATCCATTTCTATTTTTTCTATTATTTTTCAAAGTTGATGAAATAATATCAATAATTATTTGAAATCTAAAATAAATATTAAGGCTTATTTCGTTTTGAAAATATCCATTCCTAAAGAATTTGAACTATTTTGCGTGAAGAATCGTGCGTTTGCGTTAGCAATCGTGTAAGATCGTGTAACGTGTAGAATCGTGTGCGTGAGGGATCGTTCGTTTAACAGGTTTTATCGTGCGTTAATCGTGCGGAATCGTTCGTGTAAGTTGTCAACAATAACGTTGCAGCCACTGTACAGACCATTTTCTGATTTCAAAATGACATTTTGTCCGCGGATAATCTCAAGAACGACAAGAG